TTGATGTCTGTCTGTCTGCATGTATGTATGTATGTATGTATGTATGTATGTACGTATGTATGTATTTATGTATGTATGTATGTATGTATGTATGTATGTATGTATGTATGTATGTATGTATGTATGTGAGTGTTTGTGTGTTTGTCTGTGTGTATATGTGTGAGTTAATGCATCAAGATTTGCGCAAACCCTACTAAGAACGACATTCATTCAATTCCTGTGGTATGTTGTAGCTGCAAATGTTCGAATGTCTGTAGCATTTTTCTGCAGTAGTATTGTAGCAGCAATGGCAAGACAAATGTCTGCTTCCCAGGCGGCTCTGCGCAAGGAGGCCTTGCAGCGTGCCGCGGAAGAGGAGCGGCCATGTTCTGAACTTAGGGATATCGATCGATAGAAGCACACATGACAGTGCAGACTTAGAGATAGACATGCACAGATGTTGATGGCGGAGCAGACGAGTCGCAGCAGTGCCAAGACAGCTTACGTTTAATGCCTGTGCTTCTTAGTTGGTCGTGTGACTTCGAACCTTGTGGCAATTATTTCGGTGCTATTCGGCATGTAGGGCTGGAGTGATCAAACCATGAACGCGGGTCTAGGTCTTGGGATTGCGGCATGTGGGGCACCAGGACAGCTTATAACAACAGCAACGGGTATGGGCATTCATAGCCGGGATGTCACTTCATCACCACCACCATCATCAGCCCATAAATTCTCAGAGTTCTGTCCTCGCCATGTTCATCATCGTGATATTCATGGCAGTGTATTTTATCCGCGATGGCAGCAACAATGATGAGGCCAGCGATTGTGACATTGAACCTTCGGCGAGAATATCAGCGTTGAAAGGTGGTTTGCATGAGACTTCTGCGATAATCTGAGTAGACCTCCTCCTCCTGCTCCTGGTCCTACTCCCAGTCATACGGCTGCTGCTACTGCTAGTGCTACCACTACGGTGCCAGTTGCGATACCCCAGATCCCAAACCCAATGCACAGGAGCTTCAGCACATAAAGGCGAGCGCTGCTGCCATCGAGGCCATCCAATGATGAAGCAAGCCCCGACAAGGCTGATTTACTGAGACCCAACGAAAGCCCCAAATCATGCGAACCTGCGCCTAGCTGACGCCGTCTGTGAGTCCTATGTCTGAGTGCCTGGTGTTGAGGTTGTTGCCTTTCGTTTCTTTTTGCATTGCATTTGAACGCCGGTTGTGATTGCTGAGGGTTCCATGTTCAATCTTTCAAGCTCGCGGTTTAGAGTTTTTTCTATGGTCAAACCTGGAGGAACCCTAGGAACATGCACCGGCTGGAAGGAGAAGGAACCAGCACATGCAGCCCCAAGTGAAGAACGTTATTGCAAACACAATCTTTTTGACCTTCTCCGCAGTGTCATGCTCTGTACCGTAGTCTCCAAAACGGGATGCTGCTGTTTGCAGCTTCAGCTGCCCTCGCAGGTCAGCAAAGAGTCCTCTCGGTAGACGCTCCTTTCCCATTTGCTTGACACTTCTGGTCTGATCTGATTTTGGAGGCGACAAAGGTAATCAAGCTGCTTATGCACGCCGGTAGCAAGTTCGCTCGGTAATCAGGAGGACCTCACCATGCAGATTGCCCTGGAGAGGGGCAAGCAGGCAGAGCTGTCGGCGAAGGCCCACAAGCGTTCGGCACACTTTGAAACCTATTTTGCTTCCAAGAACCAAGAACGCTATGATGTGCAGTGAGGACTGCAGGTTTCAGGTAAGGTCCGAATGGCTCAAGCGGAAGTTATCTCCATGTCGGAGAGTGAGGCAGATGAGCAGCGGCAGCAGTTGATGCAGCTGCTGTGTATCTAGGAGCAATTGTTTCAAGGAAGGACGGAGCTGGTTAGCAGTTAAGTCAACGGTTGGAGGCTTCTGGGTTTGAGCACCTTTGTGAAGCTCGCTCTTCTGCGGCTATTGGGTTGCAGCTTGAGCGGTCAAATGTGTTGGCGGGCCGATGCAGGATTGACGTGTGATACCTTGACCCTGACGCTTAAGACGTGAATGCATCGACCGACCCAAATCACAAGACTACATGCGACAGCTTAGAGCCCTTTCTCGCAAGCTCTCCCTTCCCCCGATGCTCCCTGTTTCTTTCCCTGCTCAGATAGTCATTTTGGGATAGGATTTGCTTTGCGGAGTTTAGCACCGTCTTCAGCCCTAAAGCATCCGCCTCCCTGAACCCTGTTACTGTTCAGAACGCGTGAACCGGGATCCGCAGTAGCACGAGTTTGGTCCTGCAGTGGTAGTCTGGTGGCTGCCGGTCTTTGTAACAGATCTGTCAAATCAGAGAGCTCCCCGCGTCCCTCCCCCCGCCCTGCCGAGTTGAAAAAGGAGACCCAAGCTCAGGTGAAGCTCATGCCAAGGCCCTGGACGATGCAGTCTAAGCTGTCGGTGCCAAGACCTCGAGGCGATCGCTTTAACACAATCTCGGAGCCTGCCGCCCTTTGAGATCTGCATCGTTGCACTGACTTGAAGGCTGGATCTTGCAAGGGTGCAGGGGGATTGCGGCTAGGTGATTAGAGACAATACCCTTTCAACCCAATGCCAGTCATGCTTCAAGGGTGATCAAAACCCACAACCTCATTACATGTTTGCCTGAGATGCTTCATGATGCAACATGACACCCCAACCCGTGAAAGCGTGAGATCCTCAAACCCTGAACTCTCCAATCCAAAGTTCCAGACACTCCGCCGCCAGCTTGCATAAGGCATTCAGAATGAAAGTCCTACGGCTTGGGAGACTTGAGAACCGAGCTGTATTCAAACTTTTGTATTGCAAACTTGAGTGTTCGGGTTTCAATATGTCTTTCCTATGGTTTCAGTCGTGCATGTATAGTACGTTGTGGTTTTGTTTGTGTGCAAGCCTTTTTCCGAGCGGCCGTTGCGGATCGGAGTCCGTGTATGCCTAGTATTCATGCAAGGGCCCCAACACGACTAGGAGGCGGTTTGAACCATAATATAGGGTTTATACTTGAAAGAGCCGCCCTGTGCCTGGGCCAGGTGTGATCTTGAACTTGCTGCGTGAACCTGTTCTCCACGACGCTGCAATGCGAGCTCCTGCACCAGTTGGGCTACGATGTCGTTCCCGACGATGCCAATGGCAGGAGTGCTGAACTGCGTGAGGGCTTCCCTCCTTGCAGCAAGTAGGGCCGAAGCATGTTACCCCCATTTGTGTTCCAAATCTGGTTCTCAGTATTTCAGAGTTTGGAACGACGGGACATGGGAGTGTGTGCAGGGCAGACTTGAGAATTGTGTAACTCGGCCATACTTCATCGGGCGATGCAAGGAACCGACTGGATTAACTTTACGTAAGGTCTGTACAAGCCGAGCGCCCCAGTACACGGGAAGATCGGGAAGGGAACGGAGCTGGTCTTGCTCGTGAACTTGCAAGCTATAATTCCTATAGCTCAACGCTGAACCCGCCCATTGTATACGAAGCTGACTTGCTGGGAGAGTATGCAGGAGCCCTGTCGGCCTCTTCTCGGACCTGGCCAGCTTCAGCATGCCCACCAGTTGATTGAAGCTGGCACCGGCACATTCATGCTAGCTGCACCTGCATACATCTCCTGGCCCTTCCTTCTGGCAGCATAGCTCGCTTCCATCGGCGCTTTGACCTCTGCTTTCGGCGATAACCGACACGACGTGGCGAGGAAGCCGCTGTTTGATGGATCTTCAGCAAGGCCTTGCAACTGGCGAGCCGCAGACACAAAGCCGGCAAAGTCGCATGAAGCGAATCAGGCAGAAAAAAACTTGCGTGACACAAACAGCAAAAAGGGCAGGGGCCGCCGCCATGCAGCTTTCAGGTTGTATTCCAAATGCATCCCGAAGATCCCGAAGAACAACACCCTCAAATGCTGAAGCCCCAGACCCTGCGCCCTCTCGGACAAAACCAAAGACCTTCGCCACCACTTACGGGTAGTCTCTTGGTGTGCTTGGTTGTTTGTATGATCCTGGCTATCGCTGTGATTCTTAATGCGCTCAGTCCATCCCAGTCCTGCAGGTTCCCGCCCACCGCTGTATGCTCGCGGGACCCCGGGACGAGGAGTGCATGTTTTCTGTCTTTCGGCCATGTGAGCGGTTTAGAGGGTAGTTGGAAGTTGGAGAGCAGAGGGTTGCTGTGGGGTTCCGTTGAGAGTTTTCATGTTTACGGATTGAGAAAGTACAGAGCTTGGGATTTAGGTGCTTGAGACTTTTTGGTCATGTTTAGTTTCAGCTCTAGCCGTGTAGACTTTTCCATTTCTCTGGTTTCAACCGAGATTCAAAAAGCTTTGGTTAGGATCAGTCAACAGCCTCTTCAGTCAGGATGGGCACTACTTTGCTGCTGCTTTCCGCTGGCCAGCTGATAACTCCGGAGGAGGCGATACGTCAAAAGACTGCGGGCTGATGACTTTTTAGGACGTGCACCTTTGAACCCCTTCAGTTTGGGCGTCGCTGGAGGTTCGGCTTCGGAGTGTTGCTCAGGCTGACCGACTGACACTGGCCGCTTGTTCTGATCTGAACCCAAGTTCCAGCGCAGGTCCTGTCATTACCATGCCAGAGGGGCTCAGCCAAGAGGCCGGAAACGAGTTTAGTGCTATGCTGTCTGGATAATTCTGGTGGGCCCCTCCATGGGATGCCTGCCTTCACCGCTGCCTGGTGTTTCAACCGGGTAATCCGCATTGGACGGCATGTTGCGCAGAACCCTAAGAACGTGGTAACTTCAGGAAAGTGGGTTGGCGTGCACGTGGGAAGCCAGTAATTAGTCAGGCAGTCGCAATGGTTCGAGTGCAAGGAGCTCCACACATCCAGCAAGCAGACAGGCACAGTAAAGCTTCTGACCGAGATTCCATGGCCGCGAGGCCACGATGATGCTGCTGCGTCTTCGCTACGGATCAGACGAAGTGGAGGCCCAGGAAAAGGGAATGCTTGTATACAAGTTCAGGAGCACCAATGCCTTGAAGCGTTGCCGATTTCGTGCCAGGCCGACTACATTCTGGAGGCAACCTGGAAAAGAGGGAAGAAGGGAGTTTTTGGCTGTGAGGTTTTCGAGCTCCAAGCTTTAAGGGTCAAGCTTTTGCAGCAGGTTTTTTTCCAATGCGGCAAATGAGCTGTGGCTTCAAGACAAAAGAGGAGGGTTAGGCCTGATGTGTACCTGGCCCCTCGAACCCTGAGCCCAAAGTTGAGAACCTACAGGGCTCCACCTCATGAGGAGCCTGAAACTGAATGTCCCATGTCCCAAGGATGCTAGCACTTTTCTGCGGGCAGGGTTCCGAAAATACCCAGACCGGCGAGAGGCCCGACACTTCGCAGAGCTGCTTGACTGGCCAGAAGTACGGAAGCGCTGCGAGGCGTTCCGGGAGTTGGCCATTTCGGGCTTCGGGTTCATGCGGCCAAAGGAGTCCTATGGTTCTTGATCTATTGGCTTTCGGATTCAGGTGAAGACATAGTTCAACGATGTTAAACGAGTCATAACGGTTGATTATTCCTTGTGTCTTCGGAGAGTTCACCGACGATTGCTCTGGACTCTGTGTGCCTCCGAAGTCAATCTGCAAGCGGCAGGGAGTCGGCGGCTCTCAAGCGATTGGCTGAACAAGAACGTCCGCTCCGCTTCCTGTCCACCCTGCATCGTGAAGTCCAAGAATATTCTAGGGGCCGTGCCCACGGGCGGGCAGTGCAGGTAGCAGCCCGGATAAACCATACACCGTTCGACTTACTAACTACTTGAGTCTCAAACCGCAAAACATCTAGAAGAAGCTTCAATAAGCACGGGGGCGCGCGCAGCCCCCGCCCTCTTTTGCTGCGGCCCCCTCCTCACACCCCTTCCATCTCCAAATCGTACTCCTGCGCTAGCGCCTCATGGCTGATGCTGATGACGCGCGCCTCTCGGACGCTACAAACACCGACTCCAAAACATGCACAACATCGCCCTGTGCCTCATAGGCGGCTGCCGGCAATCCGAGGGCTCATGATGCTCGCCAAGTGCCCTCGCAAACCCGCCATACCGCTGGGAATAGCCTAAAATTGTCGGCAGCACTGCCGTCCATCCCTATTGCTAAAGCAAGGCTTGCAGCTACACTCCTCAACCGCCCGGAGACCGGGCGCTGCCCGATTTGAAGCCTTGCGAGTTTGCTTCTCCGCGTGGGCAGGCTTACCTCGAGTCCCTGTTGGCGAAGCCAGAGGACTTTGCCTAAGGATTCAGGGCTTGGGCTGTGTAGGAAAGGTGTGGTTTCGAGTGTGTCAGGGCAGCTCTAGAGCCGAGCGCTCAGCTCCTAGACGCTGAGCCTGCAAAATCTGCGCACCCTGCTTTTCAGTGCTTGAGTGTCGCATTCTCAACCTCGATGTTCACGCTGATTCACGCTCCCAACAGTCCAACCTACACACCCTTCCGAGTTGTGATCTGTCAGTGGAATACTCTACTTACGAGCAGGCCCCTAAGTCCATCCACAAGCAGGAGGTTGACACTGCGAGCTTGCTGGCCGTGCTCTCGCATGCAGAGGCCCGCTGCCTGGGCCGGGGTAGCAGCGCGCGGCCACTTCATCTCACCCCCCCGATTCGATTCTACTGGATCTCACGCACCCGCACCTNNCCCCCCCCCCCCCCCCCACCGCCCCATCCCCCCCACAAAAAATCCGTAAAGCCATACAAAGCCGGACCGAACCTGAGTTCTTAGGAGAGTCGGTCGATGCCCGGCCGCTTGAAAGCGGCGGCGCTCGCTGCGGCAGTAAGGCTCCCCGACAAGCTGCGGTTTAGGGTTTAGGGCTTNNTTAGTAGGGGTTCAGGGTTTAGGGGTTTATGTGGGGGTTTCGGGATTTACGGCTAGTTTAGGGGTTGTGAGTTCAGGGGCTGACTTTGCTGAACCGGACGGGGCTTAGGGTTTCGGAAGTGGTGGCGGGCCTTCGATTCAAGCGCTTGAGCTCAGCATTCCTTGCACGCGGAATTTCTTGAAGCGCCGGAGTTTCTTGGAGGCAGTGGTCTCGAGTGGCAGAGGCAGCAGAGGCGGAGTCGGAGAATCCGAGCACGCCGAGCATGCTCCCCTCTTCCAGGTGCTATGTACGGGTTCGGTGGCTTTGGGTTCAGGGCTCCACGAAAGGGGTTGCAAAGCGGAGGGCAGGCATTCGCAGTATGCTGACAGTTGAGATTCGGTTTGATCGGGTGGGCAACTCGTACGTAGCAAACGTTTGGAGTTGGTGAGGGGCTGTGGCCAGCGGATTCCGCTTCCGGTACGCTTGTGGTGCGGCAGAGGAGGTGCACGCCACACTGTTCTGTTGCCACAGGTTCGAAACCCCATGGCCCATCGTGACGGCAGCTCCTTTCTCTCGAGCCTTGACCTCCGCCAGGCAATCTGAGCTTGGGACGCTGAACCGCATCCGGCATCGCGACGGCCATGTGTGCGGCAGCCCCTCGATCGCTAGAAGAAAGGGCTTTGACCCTGAAAAGCCTGTGCTCCTTGAGACTCTCAGCTTTGTGCGGTAAGGGCTCGTGAACCTTAGCCCCTGAAGCTGGTGCAGCCTATGCAGTTGTCATCCGTTCATGATAGCAATCAGGTTCTCGAGCTTGGGAGGCTGGTTTCGGTAGTCGTGGCTGCGTTTTCTGAGAAACTAGATGGACCGGAGCTGACAAGAGCCCACATCTGTACATCATGGTTTCAGCTGGTTCTAATGGCTGCAAGCTGTCAGCTGTCAGCCTCAAGCTTCAAAGCCTTTACACCCCCATACCTCATGAGTTGGGAACTTGAACTCCGAAGCTGATACACAAAGCCCCCGGATTGGCTGTTTCGGGCTAGTGATGGCTGAAAGGTTTGGAGGAGTACCTTCACGCAGCATCGGACGACCTCGTCGCCTGGGAGTTACCTGGCAGAATCTCCGAGGGCTCCTTGAGGCTGTTGATTTTTGGCTGTTAATGACGACGGGGGGGCTGTCATTCAAGATCTTGATTCTTACGGTTCACAACGCTGCTAATCCAACGGAGAAGCTCGTGCCAAACATGCCCACAACAAGCACCAGTGCTAAGCACCAGTGCCCTGCGTTACAATGACTGGCTAATCATCACAGTCGTCGATGACAACGCCGTCGATGACGTCGTCGTCATCTTCATGAATCATCAATCATCATCAATCATCATCAATCATCATCACCATCATCACCATCACCATCACCATCATCATCATAATCGCCATCATCATCATCATCGTCATCATCACCATCATCATCATCGTCATCGTCATCATCATAATCATCATCATCATCGTCATCGCCATCGCCATCGCCATCGTCATCGTCATCGTCATCATCATCATCATCATCATCATCATCATCCGCGGCATCAGCGGCGTCATCTATTTGGCCCACGTTCGTGGGTATTCTGGGTCCTGTCATGCTTGACCTTCGAGAACGACTAGCAGTTTTTTTGAAATAGTCCCGGACAGCAGAAGCCCGGTTTCGGTTCTTCCTGCAACGCTACTTCTGCATTTCACTCGGCCTTATAACACCCAACTCCTCAAAACTGCCAGGAGATCCCTTGCTCTGGATGCGCCGCAGGCCGCGAAGCGGAAACTGGAAGGTCGGGCACAAACGGCTCGGGCTTTCATGTTCATTTGCGGGGATGCCTGAGGCCCTGAGCGATAGGAAGCGTGTGTCTGGAGTACCAAAAGCATGCAGACATGACCGGAGAGGATGGAATTTTTGGGCTGAGGTTCCAGGAGTTTGGGCTTCATGTAGCCAGTTGAGTATGGACATTCGTCACGTTCGTTTGGGGCCGGTCTTCTAAGGGTCCATCGTGTTCCACAACAAAACCAGAAGGTGCATGGCGGCATTGGCACCAGATCCTGTTTGAGTATGGCCACATCTTCGGAGCAGATCTTGCCGAGAAGTACCCGGCCAAGTCTGCTATATATTTGGCTTTGACAGGCTTTCATACCGAGAGCATTGCAACATCGAGCTGTGGCTGTTGCTGTTTCTGGCTGTGGATCCCAGGGCCGAGTGTAGATTCACTTGAGAGCTCAGGGCTTCTGCCCCCAACGTGTCTTCAAGGATCTTCGGAGAACCCTGAACCCTTTTGTCAAAGCAAAGCTGAAGTCAAAAACTTCCGAAGCCAAGGCTGCGAGAGCGGACACGGCACCGACGCGCTCAACTCCGAGAGGAGCGGAGTCGCCAACGAGGCAAAGACTGGCCATGCTTTCAGGCTTCGGCGGCTTCGGTACATGGCTTGGATGATGGGAGTGTCGGGCTTAAGGTCTGGGTATCCCCTAGATGGTTTAGATCAGGAAGATCCGAGCGAAGATTGCCTCTCGAACTTCATCTAATATGTGGATTGGGTCAGGAGGTTCCGCTTCTGGGCCTGCAGGGTCGCAGGCATGTATTTGTGCAGCCATTCGCGCAGCTATGCGGGCAGGATTTGGATGGATTTGGGATTTAGGCTTCAGCATCAGAGCTCGCAGCTGCACGAACCAAACAAGACACGCTTAGTGACGATGGATGGCTCATGGCAGGTCTTGGAAGCCAACTCTGCTAGGAAAAGGATGCAAGATGTGGGATTTCAAGGAAAGATAGGGCTGAGAGCCAAAGTGTTCCACCTGTTGAAGCTTTTTAGACACCCATGCAGAAACTCTTTTGGTCCCTTCAAAGCAAAGTCGAAACTGACACGAAAGAGGACTTTGCAGCCTCAGCCAGGTCAGGACCTTCGATTGCCGGCAGGGAAGGTCTGGTTCGAGGCAGCAGCCAGAGCCAAGCATTCACTTGCTTTTCGGTTTTTCGGTCTTATGGATTCGGGTCTGGGTTTGAGGCTTCACATGGTAATTGTATCCGATGTATGTCAGACGCGGGAGTGTAGATAGCTGTCAATGAAATAGAGACTGTTGTCGTGCAGTCCAGGGAGCGCATGCATGCCGCATGCGAGGTGAAAGCACAGGCGCAGGCTTAATGTCACAGGACATGTGCAAAACCTAGGATCTTTTGGGAGACCATCAAGACAAGGAAGGGTTTGGAGTTTGAGGCTCCAGGGTTTAGGGTGTTGGGGGCTGTGCCAGGATTCTGATATCTGATAGTCTGATAGTTATGAGCCAGTCAGATGCCTCCTGCTTCGAAGCACTGTGTGAACCTCGTTAAGGATGTTATTGCAACACCATCCGCAGCTATTGAAATCAGAAAACCGAAAACATAAATTCCAAAAGTATTCCCTTCGGCTGCATGCATCATTGTTTGCATCGCTTCCGGCTTCAAAGGTTCAGTAGCACTCCCCATGTCTGCCCCCCCCTCCCCCCCAGCTGGCCCCCCTCCCCCTCTGACCGCGTCACAGAACCTCGAGCGTCAACTTCTCGAGCTGTCTGAACCCCTACGCTGCGAGCCCTGCGGCAGTTGACCTGTCCTGAGCGTCAAACACTCGATAACGTTCTTCGCAGCGCAGGCCACGACAGATTGGCAGGAAGTGCCCAGAAACGCGATCTGTGCTGCAGGGGCCTTCAGTGTAGAGGAGCGGTCTTTAGCATTTTGGATGGTTGGGGCTCCGTCATGGGGTTCAGATTCCGGGACCATTCCAAGCTCAGTCGTCTTCTGGCCATATCAACCCGAAAGCACACACACACACACACACAAAGTCCCCCAAGCTTTAATCTTGAGCGTCGGTTCAAGCTCAGAGTTTAGGGCTTCGACCCACCATTAAATGTTATGTCATTGTTCTTGCCATTGATTTAAGCCGCTGCTACTTTGGCTACTACATTGACATCTTACAGCCTGAAGAGACCGGCTTAGGCGGGCCTGGAGTATCACTGCGACATGCAGACTGGCAGGACAGACCGACTGATCGATGAGAAGGTTGTAGGCTTCAAGGATCCTGGCCCTTTTGTTTTGGCGGTGGAGTTGTTCGGGTACAGCAGCCTGTTCGTTGTTGGTAGTGCTATGTACTGATGTAGTGTCCGCAGACCAGGGAGGTTTTGTTATGTTGTTGGCTGCTAGGACCCCTATTGTCAGTGATTTGAGCGACTTCCGTGGCTGTGGATAAAGTTATATAGACCCAGGTCCAAAGCCTTGAACAGACCCCTAGCTCTGGATTCCGAGCCTGGAGGCACTCGACGTTAATCACCATTGTCAGCATTATTGTGAGCCAGTGCAGTCGTCATCGTCGTCATCAAAATCATCATCGTCGTCATCGTATAAGAAACATGATCGTCGTCCTCCTCCTCCTCCGCCTCATCTTCATCATCATCATCATCATCATCATCATCAGCACCACCACCACCACCACCACCACCACCACCACCACCACCACCACCACCACCATGACCTTCATCATCGTCACCATTACCATCATCCTCATCCTCATCCTCATCCTCATCCTCATCCTCATCCTCATCCTCATCCTTATCCTTATCCTCATCCTCATCCTCATCCTCCTCCTCATCCTCATCATCATCATCAGCGTCGTCATCTTCGGCATCCTCATCTTCACCATCATCGCCATCATCATCATCATCAGCAGCAGCAGCAGCAGCAGCACCAGCATCTTTGCCATTGTCACCATCGCCATCTTCATCCTCCTCCTCCTCATCATCATCGTCCTCGCCATCATCGTCGTCATCATCATCATCGTCATCATCATCATCATCATCATCAGCACCATCATCGTCATCATCATCGTCGTCATCATCATCATCATCATCATCAGCATCATCATCGTCATCATCATCATCATCAAAATCATCATCATCATCATCATCATCATCATATTCCTCTAAATCATCTTCCTCTTCTTCGGAACTGTCTTCATCGGTTTCGTTGTCGTTGCAGCAACAATGCTAATCCTCTCTGTGACTTGTGCTTCCAGGAACTTCGCCCGACTGGCCATGTGAACTTTAGCGCCGGGATTCAGTTGGAGGAGGCTGCCGTGTCTTGCCCCGGATAAATCCAGCTTCCGTAGTAGTTCTGGTTCGAGCTTCGGTAGTGGGAGGCAGCACGCTTCCCACTTAGCTGCAGCGGCATGACTCGGGTTAAGGGCACCTTTGCAGAGGAAGGAACAGTTCGAGGGTTGAGGTGGTGTTGGGAAAACCTCGGCTGCCTGCTACTGGTAGCGTCACTGTCACTAAACTCGCTTGAGGACTGAGTCCTCTGGGAGCGCCCCGAGCCCCAACTCCTGCAACGATTCATACCCGGGCAGGTCCCGCTTCCGACGCCTCCAAGTTTGCAGAACTTAGAGTAGGGGGCGCTTTTTGGATTCTCTGAATCCACTTCCAGAGCCCGGTCCCAAAGTGCTTGTAAATGTTTCGAGAGGACACTCTTGAACTGCCAATTTCGAGCTCCAGGTAGCTGAAGTTGAAAGTTGGAGGCTCTGAAGGTTTGACCCTGTGATCCCGTGGAGTAGGGCAAAGTTGCCCTGCTCAGAAGATTTGCGACCTTGCTGCGTGATCCAAGTTGACAAGATTGGACTGCATGTGCCATACTTGTCCCATGTCGCAACCCTCCGGTCTGATGGTACGTGGTCCAAGGAATTTCGCCATGCTTTTTGAGACCTCAAACCAGAAGAGTTTCGGGGCAGGGAAGGAATCACGCATCAAAGCCGCAAGCGAGAATATACCTCGGTCCCGGGCTTTACTGCAGAGGCCTCAACAAATAGTATGCTCTCGATGCTTAGATAGCATACGAGCCCTCATGCCTACAGGCTATTGGGACAGTCTATGAAGCCCCAAACTTTCACCTGCGACGACAGGTTTAAAGGAATGTTCAGCATGGTTTGAGGTACGCGTGTTTCGTTTGTAGGGCCGACTTTTGGGATGTGTGGCGTGTGATGACCAGAAGGTTGGGACTAGGACCTGATTGCAGAACACGAGCACCCCTGCTGCTTTTGACTTGGAGCATGGAGCATGGACTTGAAGCTCAAGCCTAGACGTTCAGGATCTCAAGCGAAGGGGTTTACTGCTTGAGTTTGGGTCTGTCATTCCGGCTTTTGGATTCACGTTAGTTTAGCTTAAAATACCAGCGGAGGTGCGAAGCCGTCAGGTGTCTCTGCAGAGTCGCCTGCAACAAGCATTGCGCACTGCTCGAGGCATTAGGTTCAAGCCGATTTCACTCCCCAGACCGGGAACACCGAAGCCGAAGTCCTGAAATCTTAAGCCCCGCACTCTCACTTTTTCTTGTAGCTTGTAAATTGTAAACATTGATCTTCTGAACCTTCGAAAAGGCCGGCAACTGAATCTACATCCCAAGCCCCACCCCAAGCTCACATCCTGGACCTAAAAGCCAGCCCCAAGGCCCTCATGCCTTGTTTTAAACGGTTAGCTCCCTCCACCTCTACAGTTATCCACGATTGAAGTCTTTAACCTTTAACCCCCAGCTCGCATCTTGCATCCGAAAGCCACGGTGCAAGCCCTAAACTGGGGTGCACGCCATGCAATCGGAGCATCCAGAGGTGGATGAACCCACTCTCAGGCAACTGGTCCGCCTGCTTAACATTTCCATAACTGTTGATTACCATACTATAGAATTCTTGCTGCTGCCTCTTAGCACGACAACAACTACAACTACAAATGCAGTGTCCCCTTCAGTAGCTTCAGTAGCTACAGAAAGTACGGTAACTACAGTAACTAGAGTGACTACAACTGCAAATGCAACTACAACTACAATGACAACAGCAAGAGCAGCAACAACATCAACAACAGCAACAGCAGCAATAATAACATCAACAACAGAAACAACAGCAGCAACAACAACAACAACAACTGCTACTACCACTACTACTGCGACTACCTACTCCTACTCCTACTCCTACTCCTACTCCTACTCCTACTCCTACTCCTACTCCTACTACTACTACTACTACTACTACTACTACTCCTACTCCTACTACGACTCCCTACTCCTACTTCACTACTGCTGCTGCTGCTACTACTACCACCACTTGCACTACCACTACTACTACTACTACTACCACCACTACTACTACTACTACTACTACTACTACTACCACTACCACTACTACCACTACTGCCACTACTACCACTACTACTACTACTACTGCTGCTGCTGCTGCTGCTGCTACTACGACGACGACGACGGCGACGACTACTACTGCTACAGCAACAGCCACAACCAACATCCAACAGCCAAGAACCAACAGCCAGCAACCAACAACCAACGACCAACAACCATCAACCACACCAACGACAGCAACAACACCAGCAGCAGCTGCAACAACACCAACAAAGTTACGCAGCCGTTAGCAGCCGCCGGCGTTTTGCACCAGGAATTGTGGTTTTAACCCACGCATGGCAGCGCTCGCACGCACGTTTTGACAGGTGTTTTTGGAGTGATTTATTTTTTCGGAGATCAACTGGTTCGAATGTCGTCGAAAAGTGTCACGCCTGCCGGCGTTTTCATTGCTGTCATAACTTCATGTCAAAGGCGCGTTTTGTTGAAATTCGCTGTTTCTTGGGTTTTTGTATTAGGATTCTTGAAGCATGTGTCAAGACACTACTCTTGGAGAAAGGACGAAATGCAGTTCAAGCTTTGCGGTTGTGCCTCAACGCAACAAGGAAGAGGTTGAGAGACCAAGTTTGAGTGCTACTCTTGGGGCTAGTGTTGCAGAGCAGAAGACGCCGGGTCGGTAGCAAAGACAGAAGCTGTGCCGGAAGGACACGCAGCTTTCCACATTATCAAAGTATGAGGGCTATCGAATTACCATGGCTTGCATTCTGTGTTTGACAACATTAGTAGCACAGGGGCTAGGGGCAGTACTCAACAGGATTATTTGTGTTTGTATAGCCTCTGTTTAAAGTTTGGCAAGATTAGCAGCACGGGGGCTAGGGACAATACTCACGAGGATTATTTGTGTTTGTATGGCTTGTGTTCAAAGTCTGGGAAGATAAGTAGCACAGCGGCTAGGGACAATACTCAGCAGGATTATTTGGGAATGTATGG